GCCCCGACAGTCTCCCCAAAACAATCCCTCCCCAAAACAAGCCCCCCAGAACAACATCCCTGAAACAGCCCCCACAGGGAAGAGCCCTCCAAACTCTCCTGTAAACAGCCCCCCCAGGAAAAGCCCCCCAAATCTCCCTCCCTGAAACAGCCCCCCAGGAACAAGCCCTGAAACACCCTCCCTGAAGCAGCCCCAAAAACTCTCCTGAAAACAGCCCTCCGCCCCCTGGCACAGCCCCCAAAATCACCCTCCCTGAAACAGCCCCCCCCAGGAACAAGCCCCAAAACAGCTGCCCAGGCTGAGGTTACAGTGAGTTTTTATTAAATTTTGCTTCCCTGCCCCGCCAACATGGGTCTCGGCAGCACTGTAAGGCGGCTGGTGAACAAGGCAACACGTGCTCCCACAAACACCGTGTCAGGACAGTCCCCCGGCTTCGGCCAGTGCAGCCGTCCCAGCAGAGGGGACTCACTCCCACGCAGGTGCTGGAGGAACTGGGGGTCACTGGGGAAAATCATCAGCTCCTCTGCCACGGGCACCGTTGGCATCATTCGGGAACTTTCTCACTCGGGTGCCGATCGGGTGCCCGTCAGCACGCTGCGGGTACCAGGCGCAGTGCAGCCGAGGGTGCAGCGGTGCAGTCCAAGAGTCAAGGCAGCATCAGCGGGACGCTGCCGCCAGCCGCGCTTCATTCCCTGTACCGCAGTAGACACGAACCCGGTGGTTAGGACTAGGAACACTTGTTTTTCCTCTTTAGTATAAAAGCTTGAGAAATCCTACGATAACATGGGGTACAATTGTTTTATTGCCATATTCTCAATAGAAAATGAATTTTTTTTTTCTTTTTTAAGAAAACAGGTTATCCACTGCAGATCCAGAGGAGAATCAAAGTCGCCTGACAGCCGGGAGCAGCCCTGGCTGCCTCAGTGATTAAGACACAGGTAGCACCCGTCACACCTTATTTCAGCCCTGCCAGTCCCGTGCAAGCCTTAGGCTTTGTAGCTCAGCTCGGCGTTCATCTTTGTGTACATCTCATAAATCGCATCCAGGATGGGAGTGACCCTCAAGAGAAACTGATGAATCTTCTCTATGCTTTCCTCCTCTTTGACGTCTTTACCTTTCTCTAATGCCTTCAGCAAATCTGATTTGTACGGAAGAGCATAGACTGAGCCCTGTAAAACAGAGGAAGAAGCTGTAAGGCTCCCACAAACTCAAAGTCCTCCCCATTCCACATGCAGGACCCTGGTTTGGGTTGTTCCTGTGCACCTCTGAGCACTCAGGAACAACCTTGGGGATGGTGGCTGGAGAAGCCACCCTCAGAGAAGCAGGGATGTGCAGAGAGGGTCCCCAGGAAATACTGCTCAAAATAGATCAGCAGCTTCCCATGTTTCCAAGCCTTTGTTCCTCTAAAGCACATCACTTCTCGGGGCAACTAACGGAGCAACTGGGCTTAAAGAAAGGCTGCTTTCCTCCATGGAGACAGGAACGCTCACCATGAACAGCTTCTGCAGCATCCAGCCGTGGTATTTCTTCAGCGCGATCTCGTAAGCCTTCATGGCATTCACCCGGATGAGGTTCGGATGCTCCTCGTCCCGCTCGCCATCGGAGATGCTCTGCAGCAACACCAGCATGAACTTCAGGCCCCTGTGAGAAGAGCGGAGGTGATGGGGGGTGGGGAAGGGGATGCTGCTGGCCAGCCTCCAGCAAAGCACCGCCAAGCCTGATGCATATCCAGGCTCCTCCCCAAAACCCACAGCCCTGGCAGCACACCCCGCCTCGCAGAGCTGATGCCTGCCCCTGCGTATTCCTGCTCCCCAAAATGCAGCACCCCATGCTATCCCAGCCAGACCCAGCCCGAAGGGACCAGCCAGATCCACACTCTCCACAGCAGGCTCTGGCCAGCGTTCAACGAGCTCCCCACGTGCCAGGACACAGCCCGGAGCACCAACACCATGAGTCACCTTTTCAACCACATCAGCGCCAGCGTCGCGCCCGTCTTGGGCCAGGCTGAGCCGTGCATCTCCTTCTCCACCTCCAGGATGTTCTGCAGCGTTTTGAACTTGGCAGGGTTGGAGTCGTAAACCGCCCGGATTTTCTGAGGGTAGACAAGGCAGGGTTGGCTCCCGGGAGCTGCCGGGTAGAGTGGCAGCGGGCTGCACCGGAGAGCAGCTGGGCTGGAGCTTACAGCTGCGGCGTGGGGAAAATGTGGTGCCTGCAGCGAGCACCACGGCCACTAAACGGTGCTTTTGCCACGGAACCCCATTAACAAACACATGCGACTGAGATGAGCCGCTACTGAGCCTGAAAGCCCCCATGGGAAGAAAAGCCCTTTTAAAGGCCTCCGGGTCTTGCCTCTCCACTCCCACAGCATCTCTGCCTGGGGGTTCACCCCCGCCCCGAGCCCACCTGCGTCCCTTCCTACCTTGATATTTCCAGTCAGGTCTGCTTTGACTGGCGAGTAGACGATGGGAGTCCCCAGGCAATCTGTGGAAACATGGAGAGAGGACTATTAGTCTTTAGGGGACACGGGAGACATGGCAAAGTCCCGAGCTGTAAACAACAGGTTTCACCTTAACCGCAGCCAAGACACCGAGACACGCACCAGCAAAGGGCTCTTCAGGCTTCGCACATGGCCCCGCCAGCGACCCTCTGACCCCCCGGCTCCAGGACACAGCCCCGATGTGATGGTCCAGAGTGACACAACAGACACAGGACCCTCTCTGCCCATGTCCTGCCCGGCTGAGCCCTGCCACGCCGCCATCACACAATAGCTGACATTGTGGATGGCAGCGGGATGGCGCAGGCGTCGTGACACGAGGGTGGCCGGGACGGCATGCACCCACGGTCCCGGCAGCGCCTGCTCCGTCCCTGACACGGGGTGAGGGGTGGTGGGTGGGATCTGTAGGCCAGCCGGGAGCTGCCCACCCGGGAGCGATGCCTCCGGCCGGGGCGTACCGGGGGAAGGTGTCCGGGCCCTGGCGTCGGGATGTTTCCCAACGGGGGTTGCTCAGCGGGTTTGACAGGACCGTGATGCAACCCCGGTCCCGCCAGGCTGCTTCCCCGGGAG